GATTAAACCTTATTGGCTAATAGCCCCATACTTGTAATTAACCCTATAAAACCTCATGTGCACGTCTTGGAGGTGCTCAGAGCTTCGGAGCAGAAGCCCCTCTGAGCCCGCCGGCGTAATAAATCTGAGTACTCCAACCCTCCGAGTGGTGCTTGTTTCTTGGCTGGCCTGTCATTTCCGTAACAGTGGAACTTGCAGGGAAAGTGATGTTTGTGCTACTTTTATCATGGCAACCGGCACCTAGTATCCTCCACTTAGAACTTGTTCCTATCCCGGAGTAATAAGTAGATTTCTGTTAATAAATGATCTTAATTTTGATATTATCTTTTATATTATACTTTGAGTAAGAGTCACGGCTTTAACGCTTTATGTGCGTTAATTGATTGAACCTTCCACTCTCTAAGCACTGATGTTATTTTTATTTATTTTTTATTTTTTGTATTCACCCAGTGACTGGGTGAATAATACATGAAGAGAAATTGTCATTGAAACTCAAAGGTCACATTCTTCTAAACACAAATTTTCTACATAACTTATTCAGATAATTACCTCGGTCTCTGTATTTTTCTCTTGTAGATGATGTCAACCATATAGTTAAAGGAAAGCTATCTTAATGCAACTTACAAATTGTCTATGTTATGAAACTTCTAACTTATTCTGGGCTAAGCAAATAAGCCTGTAGGTAAGACTGAGTGCTGTGCATACGGCTTGCTCTGCAGTAGAATATTGGTTGAATGTCGCCTGGGGATGTGAGGAAGATAACAGGGGCTCAAGACAGTACAACTAAAATACTTAGTTTTGGAAGGAGGTAGTCTTAGATTCTAACTCTCCCATGGCACCTAAGCTCCTTTTCTGATCTATAAAATGGACTCTGAATGTTCATTTATTTGCTGTTAGGTCAAATGGGTGTGACTGAATAGTTGTTTTCAGACAGTAAAGTACTGTAGGAATCACCTGGGCTCTTAAAATGCAGATCCTTAATTAATATGTCTGGAGTGAAGCCTGAGATTCTACATTTCTTTCTTTCTTTCTTTTTTACATTTTTTTTATTGATTTATAATCATTTTACAATGTTGTGTCAAATTCCAGTGTAGAGCACAATTTTTCAGTTATACACGAACATATATATATTCATTGTCACATTTTTTTCTCTGTGAGCTACCATAAGATCTTGCGTATATTTCCCTGTGCTGTACAGTATAATCCTGTTTATCTGTTCTACAATTTTGAAATCCTGTCTATCCCTTCCCACCCTCCGCCCCCTTGAGATTCTGCATTTCTAATAGGCTCCCAGATGGTATCTATGCTGCTGCTGAGGGGTCACACTTGGAGTAGCAAGGGCCTAAACTGGAGAATGCGCTTCTTCACCGGTTTGCTCAGAGGCAAGGATTAAAAAGTTTGATCTACAGGTGGGGAAGTCGGGGGTGCAGTCCTCATCTAGCTTTTCGCAAAATGAGTGTCCGTTATGCATTGAACCCTGGGGATCGTCATTCAGGAGAGCAGTCACTGCCCTGCCCTTACGGAGTTCCCAACCTGACGAGGGAGCCAGACATTCAGCAAAGAATGACTCAGCTTAAAAAGCTCTAGGGGAGGGGAAAAAGCTCACTACACAAAGGCGCCCCCTGCTGGAGCCTAGACCCGGCCGTTGGCCCCTAGGCTCCTGGGCTTGCCGGCCCGAGGCCTGCTGTCTGCTCCGCTGATTGGCTGGCAGGACCGGCTTCCAAGCCTAAGACGGTGAGGCTCGGGCTGCCCGGTAACCGCCAGGCGAGGCCGCGCCCTAGGGCGCTTTCCGCTCGTCCTTCCTGTAGGCGACGTGAGTGTCTCTAAGGATCTGATGTTTTGATTTCACAGATGAAGGAATTTAGGACAAAGGCAAATTTGAAAGCTCATTCAGTCCCATCCCAGCAAGTGGCTGACTCAGGAGTTGAGTCCATGCTGTCCAACTGTAAAGACAAGTCTCTTAGCGGTGTTGCTACATTAACAAGGCAAATAATTTCTACCCTTCAACTACTCAACATCTGTATTTAATTTTGTGAGTATCTCTTGACATTTTTTAATGGGTTATCTGCCTATATAATTGTAGCTATGGTGATTTTCTATTATGTCTATACTTTAATTTCATAGGCCAGTACTACCCATGGATGAATATTTAAATAAGACGTAGATACACTGGTAACCACATAATCCTACAGGAAAGATTATTGAAGATGAAGATGGATTTATTGAGGCAAGAATGGTTCACTGTAAGATGGAAGCAGAAGACACATTTCCCTAATTCAGCCAGGAACAAAGGTAAGATGATACCAACTGTGGAAATAATTGCAGTATTGTGGCTACTGAGGTACCGAAGGAAACATGAGTAAGAGAGCAAATGTTTTAGTGTAGAGACTAAATTATTACTGATTACAGATCATATAATGACTTCTTTATTAATGGAGGGGGCCACTATGAGAAGTTATTAGAAATGACATAATTATTGAAATAGATTTAAAATACATATGTAAAATTACACATATTTCTATATTTCTTCTTATTTTCCTTTTTCTGGGGGGGAGAGGGGGAAGGTAATTAGGTTTATTTATTTAATGGAGGTACTGGGGATTGAACCTGGGAATTTGTGCATGGTAAGCAGGTGCTCTACCAGTGAGCTATAACCTCCTCTCTCCTTTTTCTTTCTTGAGCACATGCATACATGGTATTGTATTTTCAGTTTCCACGTATAAATTGCTAGTATATAGAAATGCTTTGAGGGGGGAGGGTATTGCTCAGTAGTACTTTACTCCCAAAAATAGTCTAAGAAAGTAAAAGTCTTTGTTGTACAAAGAGACACAATGTAGGTTGAGACAGAAAAGGTCCCTTAAGGCTGGGTTCCTGAAAGACGAATTTCCCTGAGAGCTAGCACAGCTGGAGATTGCTCAGAATCCCAGTCTATTCGTCTGGCTGCCAAATGTACACCATATGTGTACCTTCTGGAGGACAGAGACCAAGCTCGCAAAACACAGAACAAAATGTCTAATAAGATGAGGTTGAACAGTTATATCTCAAAGGCACAGGGAGAGAAACCTAAGTTCCTGCTATAAGGACTTGTTCCCTTAGGGTCAGAATTCTGGAAAGATGTGTTATCAAGCTGGCTTTCTCTAACTAGTTTTGAAATGTCAAAAAGATCTCCCCAAGTATCTTTCAACTGGGGTGCCTGGTACCTTTATACACGACCAAATGAAATTCAGGATCATCAACCAATAACTGGGAGATCTGAGAACCAGGAGAGACTCACCCCAATTCATATGGACTCACTGAGCAGTCGATGGGTCCAAGAGGCCTTTGCGGGTACCAAGGCGCCAGATCTTCGCAGAGTTCGAGGGAAGGAGAGATGTCTGCTCTGGGTCGCCGAAACCATTGCCTGAAAGAAAAATGCACAGCATAAGAGCTGTGAGTTCAGTTTGATTTGGGGAACTTGCTGAGAACTGTAGCTTGGAAGAGAGCCAAAGAGGTAAGGATAGAGCCAGAATATGTATGAAACTTTTGCTGGGAAAACAAGTAATGAAGCATAAGAATATTACTGCTAATCCCAAAGAACAGACATTGCAGGTTAATTATTTTAAGTGTTTTTCTATGTATGGGAAGATGTCAGAATCTAGTCATTGAGATTTTTCCTTAGATAGGCATCTTAACTATCTAGGGACCAGTATATCCAAAGTACCGAATACCTCCTGTTTTTCTCCATTCAACCCGATCGCCCCTGAGGGCGCACTGTCAATGAGCTTGACCCTTGTGGAGCCGGAATGGCAGGCAACGTTGTCTTCATTGCAGGTGTTAGTGTGAAATAGCCCATTCCACCCAAAGAGAGTTTTCCCACGCGGACAAATCCAGTTCTTGTTTGCTTAAACTGCTTAAATTCTAGTTGCCTGAAATGTTCCTGGATCCAGCCGCCACCCCACGTCAACACCCTCCACCTGAAATTCCAGTTCCCAGACCTCTGAATTGCTTCAGCCTCACCAGCAGGACTAGCCTTCAACCTGCTGGCAAAAACAGCTTTTTTTTTTTTTCTCATTGAGTCCGGGAGAAATAGATTTTGACTTAAACTGTTTTCAACCTCTTTAGAGGAAAACATCTTAGTTTCCAACATAAGTATCCCAACACTCTAAGCTTTTACTTTAAAACTGTTACAAACAGGAACTTAAACTAAGGAGGAAGCAATGGTGCATCACAAGACCGTGAAGACTCTCAAGCGTGTTTTATCCCAGACAAGGTACCTTGGGAACCAAAGGGAGGGACGTGCAGGCCCCGCCCCTCCGTCTCACGGTTCCTGCGCTGCGTCTGGCCCCGTGTCCCGCCCCTCGCAGAGGCGCTTCTCCCAGGCCCCGCCCCTTCCACTCCGCGCACGCGCAGTTCCCTACAGATCCAGAAGCCGAGACTGAGGAGCTGAGGTCGCGCTCCGGGTGGTGAGTTGATTGTTTTTTCTAGTTAAACGTACGTGTCGCAGTCCCCTCTTCTCCGTACCCGAGGTTTGGGGGTCCCTACGGACCTTGAAATTCCCGCCCCCCCGTCCATCCCCAGCTAAGTTCAGTCGTGGCCGTGGGAGGCCCAGGGCCGTTTTCCCTTTGGTGGGAAGTCGCTCTGAGGCTGCTCCCTTCTTCGGCTTTTCTGCTTTCGGGCCACGTAGTCTTCGCTTTTCTTGCCGTGTTCCTGCTTGAAACCTTTTACTGACCTCAGCACCCCCACCATGTGAAGCCCTCCTCCCCAGGTGGATTCGTCCCTCCCAGCCTCGCCGTCTCGGCCCGTGGAGGGCGGCGCTGGCCGCCCCGCTCCCGTGAGGCCGCGTCCTCTCCCGGGTCCCGGCCTCTCCTGAGACCCTCTCCCTCCCAGCCCCTCTGTCCTCCGGTCCCCCTCAGGCTGGTCCTTCTGCTCCGCGGGCCTCCCCTTGGTCGTCAGCCCTTCCACTTGTTACTCCCCATTGAACTCTTTAATCAATAGAAATTGGTAACAGGCCAGAGGAGTAATTCAGGCAGGGCTTTATTGGGACTCCGGCTGCAGCAGGTGGGAACGAAAACAAGTAATAGGTTCCTTTGCCCGCTGTGTGTCGGGGAGGGGGGATGGTTGTGCCGAAAAATCAGCCTCGGAACCTTGGAGGCAGAATTGTGGGAGCAAAGAAGAAAGAGAGCCGCCTTATTGCTTTGCTGGACAAAGGGAGTCAGCAGGCCAATGCCTCGGAAACTTAATCCATCCTGGGTTGGGGCTTGGTGATTATGTAGGCAAAGGGGTTGGAGCATATCAGTGGTAATGAGCAATAGAATCTCTTACAAAAGTTTGTTTTGTGTCATGATAACTTCTTGTTGTCTGTCAGGTAGGTCATTGTCCGCGGCCTTGGGGTCTGATCCCACCGGTGTCACGGGGTTAGGGGTGTGGAGGGGTGGTTGGAGGATCTGGCGGTTCCTTCAGTGTTATCGTTCCATGACCTTTCTGGAAAGCAGCTTCTGGGATTTGGATACAAGTAATTTAGGTAGGGCATACATCATAGGGTCGGAGCTGCCAAGCATGTAATCATTCAACCAAGTTAAACAGTAGTAGCAAGGAGTAACACAGGTTAGTCAGAAAGAACTCGGATAAAACAAATTAATCGATCACAGTAAACTCTGTAATCTTAGTATCAGGGAAGCCATTTTGTGACTCCTTCAAACCCCCACTGTTAGTTCCTTCTATGTCCTGCTTTCTGCTGATCTGGCCCGAAAGCCAGTTGGCAACCCTGGGATCCATCTGTGATGCATAGGCGCCTGCATCTCCAGTGTTCTGAATTTGATATTTTATTCTATTTTGTTTTATTTGTATTTTTTAAATTGAAGTATAGTCAGTTTACAGTGTTGTGTCAATTTCTGGTGTATGAAATTTTATATTATTTAAAAGAAAGTATAATTTTAGATCAGGTATAAAAGTACAGTGTATAATGTAGTTCATGGTACAAATTTTGTCTCATGAGGCAAGTAATACATCCAAGGCCGTTTAGTTTTGCCTTGGATGTCTGAACTACAGTTATTTTGACCACCTGTCATGGTCCAGGAAAATATTCTCTCTTGTCACTTCTTCCTGTATCTAGAGTTACACTGTTATAATTAATTACAAATTTTCTATAGAACTATAAAACAATTTTATAAAATAGGCAATACGCAAGCACTATAGCTAGAAATATTGGTAAGGTCATAAGTGAGAATTCAAGTTAAGGTCTTTTATTAGGTGCAGCCCAGTTTACCTCTAGGTTGTCTAATTTAGTCTGTCTTACGCCAGTCCTCATCTTTACGGGAGATTGTGTATTGGCACTGCCCGTAAGGAATCAGCCCCTTTTCCTAGTGTTATTAGGCTGGTTATCCTTAGTGTGACTCAATTTTTCCCAACATAAGGGGGCCTTTAAACTTAAATGACCATAGCCTGGTGGTAACCATTTAAGTCCATCCCATAGCTGTGGGAGGTTGTATTCTTGGCTGCAGTTCTGCTTATTGCTCTGATTGAACTTGAGTAACTTTAGAAGAAAATTCACGTTTACGGCCAGGGTTAGAGCGCATAGTAACTGGCCAGGTCAGGGAATCGCACCTGGTGATATCAGCAGTGGCCTGAACAGAACTACATAATTTCTTTCTTCTAGAATAAGTTCCCTAAGGGTCAACTAATGAGACCCTTTGAGTGGAGAAGTACATCAGGGTAACCCGGAAGTACTGCATATAGGTAACTGGCCATAAGCCTAACAGCTGGGTTAACTGCACCCTACAAAAGATCGTGAGATACATTTAGTTTTTAAGCAAAGCTGTGGGCAATGATCAGAGTAACTGGTGTGCAGTCCTGGTTCAGTGT